GCATGCCCGTGCTACAATCGTTTTAAGAGTATGCAACAAAAACATATTTTTTACTTTTTTATATATTACTTAAGTACCACAATATAACATGGCATGTTAAGCTGTGTGAGCTTTTAAGTCATGTAAAAGGTAGCACAAAATTTGTACAAACGTTTGATAAGAATAGATACAAATCTAATATGATACAAAAAAGTAGATCAGAAATGGCGCAAGAAGTCACTGTTCAAGTTGGTAAAAGATGATATGATTTATCTGCTGCCTACAGAGAGTGGGTCTACTATATTTCTGAATATATCCAATCACTGTTAATTAATACAAAATGACCCGCCAATATAGTTTGCGCAGAAGAAAAAAAAACAATTTTTCATTCCATATTGACATAATACATAAATGATTTTTTTAAATAAAACAAGACAGTAAATATTAAGTAGACCGAAAACAAAATAATGTACATGTATATTTAAAGTTAAAAACTTTGCATATGACTAACTGGCCTGAGATCACGTGAACACTAATCTTAAAACAACCGAATACAATCGTGTATCTTTATTTCAAAAGAACATATTTACGCGGGAAAATAATATTACTTTTTTCTTTAGATATATACTGCTTAAGTTTGTAATTTTGATATAAAAAAAAGGGTTATTCTGCTTATTTGATAGCAGTTGATGTTAAGATATCACATGTCTATAAAAGTAAAACATCACAAATATGTCCCTGACATTGACTTAATTTAAAGATATCCTTTACCGAAGTCTATGTTAAATATACAGCCATATAAATTTTGACATTTATATATCAAAGCAAATGCGAGTAAGTAAGTATACAAAGTTAGTTTTCATATAATTATATAATTATTTAACAAAAAGATCTGCAACAATCCATTTTAAGCAAAGAAGACGTCAATGTATTTACTTATGGGAAATAAATGGTAAAATAGTTAATTTGCTGCAATCCGTATCGTAACTGGATCACTATTATTTTTCCGTGTCTTAAGTCAGTCAATCCTTTTACGACAACAAACAGAAATTTAAAGTCATAAATTATGGTTAAAAATAAACACCTACCTAGCATAGGCTGAATGAAAGCGAAAACAAAACATATAAAAACTCCACTTAAATGTCTCCCAACATTCACCGCCATTTTGGAATTTGAAAAGCCGGACATTTGAGGGAGAGATAACGCTATAAAGTTGTGTTTGCATAACCTGTAAAATTGTTACAGATTATGATATCAATGATAAAGCTTTGTTTAGAGGCCAAATATGGGAAAACTGTACCGATGTTTGTTATGTGTTAGAGATTGTTTTGATGCATACACTGCAGATGTAATGCAAAACAAATCTACTGATATTTGTCATACACGAAACTGTACATTGGTTGCTTGCAATTCCTAGTTTGTTCCGAATAACTTACGGTATGAATGAAAGTAATAGAGGATAATGAATGACTGTAAGTTCAATTATGAATTTATTGCACGAATTGAATAAAATTATATTATGCAAGCCTCTGGCGAGCATGTAATATTATTTTTTTGAACGAGGTCAATAAATTCAGTAATGAACTTACACGTACTTAATATTCTTTTTAACAACACCTAAAATAAAGATAGTCATCTTTCACTGACGCCTATAGTATAAAGCCAACGTTTAGCGTGTCTTTACTCTATGTTTGTTTACACTTATGACATCACGTCAAATATGCACGGCCGTGCAATACCATTTTTACGGAGTCGCAAAATCGGCACGGGTGTGTGATAAAAGTTGTTATGACTCTGATTGTGAGGTAGATTTTGCGAGCACATGTCTGCCAGCAAGCATTAAAAAAAGGTTTAACACTAGGCATAAATACCCCCGGCCTAAACTAGGTGGCGTCTGACAAGAGGTGCCCCCTATCCTTCTATAACTTCATTAGATTTATTTCTCAACAATATACCGTCCCTAAGTGTTTGGAAGAATTTGAACTTTCTCCACTAAGTATTATAGGTCAGCGCGGCACATAAGAGAACGCAATCGTTCCTTAAAAAATACTTTTTATTATTTATTTTTTTACAAAAGAAAGATGTTTAAATATTTTTGAAAGAAATTTAATTGTTAAAACTGAGTCATATATAGCTAAAGTAAATTCATGATAAAAAAATCATATTTAACACCTCATGCTTCTATTAACAGGAACACGCATATAAACAAAGAATATCGTAATCGCTGTTCTCAATGTGATCACAACCATTCAAGACATCGCTACAACACCTGTAGAAGGTGATCAAATTGATGCCATCCTGCTAGACATTGAGAACAGCGAAGCTTTCGATAACGTCCCTCATGGTACGTACTACACAAATTGCGCCACCAAAGAATGCATGGTCAGGTACTGAGCTGACTGGCAACAGATGCCTGATGGTCATACCACAGAGCAAGCTGCTGACACCCGGAGTTCCACAAGGAAGTGTGCTTAGTCCCTTGTTCTTTCTCCTGTAAATCAATGAAAGTAGTTCGTGCTTCTTTGCTAAAGACTCATTACTGTACATGGGAATCCGGTCAGAAGAGGGTAGTGCAACAGAGCAACATATAAAAAGGAGAAGTGAAAAAAAGGCTGGCAGATTGAGTTTAAACGATCTAAGTTTGAGGTTGTGCAGTTCTCCAGGGTCTTTCAAATTCTATTTGAAAGACCCAGGGTTCAAACGCTAAAAACACTGTGATGCTACATAATTATTTTACATATGACCACACTCTACAATAACATGTAGTTACCAACTGAAAATACTCAGAATAAAACTGTTCTGGAATCCACATGCTGATTCTACAGCCAAAAATGCAAGCAACAGCCCGGTATCTTACCAGCTGTCCAACTAACATCCGGAAGCAATGCTACGAACACTTGAAATACCTCAGTAGAACGCCGTTTATAAAAGCCATATGTTGTAAATTTGATAGAAGATGGCGTTGATCAAGATGTTTCATGACCTGACTATGTATGATATATAAGTGAGATTGGTTTGTTGCCAGGACTATGTGCTTTGTGGGGGGTTTAGACATTTCACGAGTTTCACTTCACCGAAATTGTCAATGAAGTGATGTATGTCTAGCAGGAGATGTATTTAGTGGTGGCATATGTGACTTTTCCTCTTATGGAACGCGCTACTAAATTTCTTTGTTCAGGATGGTGACTTATTATACCAGTTGTCTTTAGTATGAGGACACCACTGCTGCCGCTTTGTTTACATGCAGTTGATGAAAGAACACATTTTCTATGATTTGCCTTCTGTGATAATGTCTTTGATCTATGTTGCACTCATGCTTCAAAATTCATCTCTTTTTGTAGCCGCTTGCTATGTCTGCTTCGAATTCTTCAGCATTGACCATTATTTTGCGGTTTGCTCTTTTCTTCCTTCTTGCAGAGACATAGATATCTATGTCTCTGCTTCTTGTCAATTTTTTCCTTACTTTATTCAAGGTTGATTGTCACATGTAGTGGCAAATGTTGATGGGAACTTTTCTTTATGATTTGTAAACACTCTTCCATAGAGTTGCCTTACTTTATTTGTCATTTCAATAATATAAATCCGTGTTTCCTCTATGCATTCTGTGCCGCTTGGCGGTCGTCTGCATAATTATGCAGATACCATGATTATCTTTCGATTTCCTGGCAGCGACTGTATGATCAGTGTTAAGTCTTAATTTGGAGGTCAATCCGACAATTAATGTCATCTGAGGCAAAAGTTATACCATTGTCACTATCGCGCCAGGCAAGTGTATGTGTAATTCCGTACCAGTTTTACCGGTATATTGCGACAGCAGTTAGCTGATTTACTCGGTACGGTACGTCAAAGAACAGGAATAACCATCTTTGACAGTTTGACATTAGAAACAAAAGAAAAACGTTAGAAGGGGTAATTTCATGTTTTTTGTCTACTGAATGCATAACATTTAAACATTTTTTTTAAAATCTTTATCAATTACACGAAGTTTTGTGAATTTAAGCCAAATTTAAAACGTAAAATTTCCTTTTAAACTCTAGGTTATCACCGTTGGCGTTGATAGGCAGGGTCAAAATGTGTAACGATTGAATATCTTGTTGCGCATATTTTTTTTTTCTTGACAATTTATTGGTGAGATTATTGTAGGGTTTTAAGAAAATGAAAGATTTAATTTTACAATTGTATTATAGATTAATAGTAGCTATTTTAATTTGAAAAGCTTGTTTATTTCTTTGTGATAATTGATTTAGCACAGTCAAGTGTCAAATGTCATGACTGTTCAGCCTGGGAACATAGACACTTCAGCCCTCGGACGCTTCACCTCTCTAATTTTGGAGAAACTTCACCCTTCAATACACTTCACCCAAAGCCATTTTTTGCAGACACTCATTTTATGAAATATTAAAATGATTTTATCTGATTGAGACAGTCTGCACCTTGCCCATTTTGTGGTTTTGTGTTTCATATAAATTATAAATGCAGGTGGAACATTCAGCCTATTCCCTTCAGTACAGTTGGAGATACCATCTTGCACACAATCAGTTTTATATGCACATCAATGAGTGCATTCTGATGGTCTGCAAACCTCCAACAAATACAAATTATGAACATTCATATTAATTATATATTTTTATTGTTTTTTAATCCCCTGTGTTTTAGGTTATTCACACCAACTTCAGACTATTATAAATTCTCCTTCTTTCCTAGGACTGTATACCACTGGAACCACCTGCAGTTGCCCTACTCCACCTACTCCAGAGCAGTTCAGTGCAACCATAGCTTGCACTGAACATAATATGTCACCCGGGTTTGCCTAAAATACGAAAGTGAGATTTTTGACGAAAGTGAGCGAAAGTGACATTTAGAATTTGAATTGTACCGTTTTAATAGAATTTCACAGTAAAATTGCTGTCTGTAGACATATATTATTAGCAACTAGTAATTTGATATTCAACACTATATTTCAATTAAACACTATATTTGATATCTTAGGAGTCACTTTCGTATTCTTCAATGTGAGCGCAAGGAAGATCTCAGAACTTGTGTATAGAAATTAATCAAACAAATGGTCATTAAATCATCATAATTATTATTTTTGAAAATAAATATTATATTTTATTTTGATTATATCCGTCTGAAAACTGCAATTTTAGTATAAATTTCAATTTAAACTCTATATTTAATATTTTACATGTCATTTTCGTATTTTTCAAAGTGAGTGAAAGGAAGATCATAGAAAATGTGCAAATAAATGGCGATTAAATCATCATAGGGATTATTTATTTTTTTTTGAAAAGAAGTATTATAAGTTGCTAATAATATACGTCTACAAACAGAAAATTCACCGTAAAATTCAATTAAAACTGTACAATTCAAATTTTAAAAGTCACTTTCGCTCACTTTCGTCAAAAATCTCACTTTCGTATTTTAGGCATACCGTATGTCACCCTAGTTTTCTTAACATTTTTAATTCCTGTTTTTAAACAACTCTTTTACTGAAATTACTTTCTTGTGATTTTGACAAGCAGACATGTTTACGTCCCCACAAGGGGTTTGACATTAATGGAATAGATAGATAGTCCCTATCCAAGGCCTATAAATCTAACATGGATTTGGACAGAATTAGGGCATTTTTTTCAACTTATAAAATTCTTTATTTAATCCAAACTCTTGTACTGAGAATAGTCAAGCATAATATATACATGTATGCTGTACTACTAACAGCTCTTGTCACTGTATATGTTCTGAAACATTTTAATTTATTTTTATGCAATTTACATGTAGTTACCATTGACAGTGTTCTCATTATTAAAATATTGGCGATCCATATCATCGGTTGGAATGCTGTTAAAATCTGTTGTATTTTTCAGCCTGTAGATTTTAATGTTTCCCTTGCCCTCTGACCAAATCATTGTTTTCATTGGCATGCCTGGATATTGTCTCATATAAAAATAAAAACCCTGCATTGTTTTAAGTTGGTATCTGTTTCACTATTTATAAGACTGCCACCCAGCAAACAAAAGACGTTGTACCAACGTTGTACTGACGTTAGACCCTGACGTTGGGTAAACGTTGGCAGAAGGTTGGATTTGAAAGTTTTTTAGACGTCAGAAACCGACGTCTATACAACGTCATAAAATGACCTTTATCCAACCTTTTCTGACCATAATCCAACCTTTTCTGACTATTATCTGACCATAATCCAACCTTTTCTGACCATTATTTGGACATAATCCAACCTTTTTCTGACCATAATCCAACCTTTTCTGACCATTATCTGACCATATGCCAACCTTATCTGACCAAATTTTCTGACCATGATTTAACCTCATTCAAAACTTTTGGAATATGATTTTTTTTCATTTTGAAGCTCTTTAATAGGGTTAATAAATAAGCATTCTTATGATTTTAGCAATTTATTTTATACTCGGAATCACAAGTACAAAACAAGAAATGTGGTACTATAACAAATGCAAGATTTACATAATATTTTTTGAAACTATTAAACTTGACGGTATGTACTTTAATAACGCTTCATGTATTAATTAAGCATGTTTTAGAAATAAGATAAACAAAATCCTTCTTGAATATTAACACTGACATTTTATATAGCAAACATCCATGCATGTGTTTTTTCTTATATCACCACTGAACTGATCACTCTGAGTTTGGGATTTTTCAATCATCTATCCAACTCACTGATTGTATATTTGTCTTTGTATTTTATAACTGAATCTAGATCTGAATGTTAAATGGAACAATATTCTGAATATTTTGTTATAACTATAAATAGCAATGTTCATGTATCTTCATTAGTATTCTAGCTTCTTTCGTCCTCCTACACTATGTCGATCTGGGGCATACTATAAGCGTATCATTACCGTCTCCAACCTGAGATCTCATCACACTTTCTGAAATTAAAAAAAATAAAATAATCAGTTACAAGTGCAAGAAATAAATCACTTATACATATTATAATTAAACGAAATTCTAACAAAACTCTCCAACTACTTAAAAAGATACTTATTATTTTTAATTTAGTTTAAACCATGTAGTTTCGTGTACCTACTGTATATATCTATTAATTTTGATAAAAATGGCTTCGTGAATTTCATTATAAAATCAAGGGTAATAAGATCACTGTATTTTCTATAATATTTTGAAATATACCTGTCACAAAATCTTGGTAGGTTTTCATTTTTCTTTTCCTCTAAATATTTTCATCTTCCTCCTGAACTTTTGACACATGTTGAATTATCATAATTTTCACAATCTGAAAGACGAAATATAATCGTTTTAGAATTTAACCATGTGGTGGAAGGATGTTTGTCTAATACAATAGGCAAAATCCAATTACTATTAATCTTAGTTAACTCATAAGCGCATGAAAAACTGATATAACAAATACCAAAATGAAATTAATTCTACTCCCGCAAAAATTGATATTGTTATTTTTTTATATTCAATGTACTTTGTACAAATGCTCATACAACATCAAAGAAATTCACATGTTACTGTCATTTTTATAGATATCATCTCTGCCCAGCATGATCTGGTCTGCTAAGTGTATATAGGACAGACTGGCTTAGTGTAAAAACGTTTTATGATACGAGCATACAACTTGTTGATAAGCAGGCTAATTAACAAACTATTACTTTTATTGATTTATAACTATGATAATGTGTTTTCTGATTGATAATATGTTGTTTGATTACATTAATAAAAAGATAGCTAGTCAAATACAATGTGCTTTCAGATATATCTTACCAAAGTCGTATCATTTACATGTATCAAATGCCATGAATCATTTTCATAATATAAGAAACACATGGTATGCTAACAGTATGGGTAAAGTACTTCAATTAACAACGAGTAGTTTAACAACTACACAGATATCAAATCAAACTGCATCTGATACATGTGTAAATGACTGGCCCCTCATATAAGGGAAATTCATGTTGATAAGAAATAAGAGGAAATTTTATTTACCAGCATTTAAATAATAAGAGTATTACGTACTGCATTTAACTTTTTATTGATTTCAATTGCTAAGATATTTCCTACCATTGATTGTGAATTTATTTGGCATGGCGATATAGTGTGGGAAAAATGATCCGATTATACAGACTGTTCTATAGCAAATGATAAAGTGTTCTTACGTGGAAACAAAAATATTTATCTCGCGAAATCACGTTACATTAAGTTTTACCAGTCAAACATTTCAATGATCAAATAACCATCGAATCCAATCAAACATGCGGTAAATAAGCATTGAAAAACAATATATAATGTTTGCCTACCTTTTTCTTTTGTTTGGAATATACAACTTTGTCTGTCAACCCGTCGTTTTTTTTGTCCGCCAATACAATTGAATTTCAAATCCGATAAGTCGCAAATTCGAATTTACTAAATTATTTACCACTATAAAATGAAGCCCTCAAAAATGATAACAACTTCATTGTAATTATATAAACACTTCTTAGACTAATTCGAGGAGATAACATATTATTTAAACGAAAATAGAGCAAATATATTTCATACTGATCTGCGACTATCCGTTTACAGAGCGCCACCTATCGAATATCGTACGTTAGCCACCCACGTGATAATCATACTGTTGTTTTGATGGAGAAAATAAATATATAATGTTCCCTTTCTAAACTTAAACTTAAAATTCTCGCTGTTTATAATTATGCTTTCATTTATATATATTTTGGTTTCATAAATTAAATTCACCTATTGTCAGATTACCGACCAAAACCCGACGTCGAGCCGACGTCAAAATGAAACGTCTGTTAGACGTCGGGGATTCAACGTCGATTTGACGTTGTATGAAGGTCACCGACGTCGCGACCAAAATTCAACGTTGATCCAACGTTGGGTCAACGTCGGGTGTTTGCTGGGCAGTGCTGTAGCCAGACATGAACAAGATATTGAAGCGCATATGACATCATGCTCTCAAAGCAAGTTTTTGAGGTTGTTTTGTGTAATCAGCTTGACCATTTTGAGAAGAGGAAGAGATATTATTCTCACCCTGGTGTCATTATCACTGTCACTGTCATACTTTGGTTAAGTTTTTGTGTGCAAGTTGATAATTCAAAATTAATGAAGGGAATGGGTTAAAACTTCACACACTTGTCCTATGTGATTTCCTTACTTGATGGGCACAGGTCTCATAACTCCGAGTTACAGAGTTATGCCCCTTTTCATACTCTCCAGCACTGAGAATAGTAAAATGAGCCCAACAAACATTTCTTGTTTTTTGCCAGGAGCAATATTTTATCCATTAACTGGAGCCTGGATCCCTGCTGGGCTTCAAATATAAAAAAAAATCCCTGTCAGCCACTAACAGTGCAAGCCTTAGGGCAATTTTCTGTATTTTAAATATATATTATATTATTATATATTCAAAATAACATTAATGATAAAAAGACCCACAAACCAGAACAGTTTTTCAATACAATCATATTTATTGTTTTGCTTTTTTATAATATTAAAACACACTTTCAATAACTTACGGTAATTACTCTTGGTCAATGTAGGCACAGCTAGGTTTCAAACATTTGCAGGATTCTAAGTTTATATGTATGTATAAACTCGGAGTGACTACTCCCATTTTAAATCAGTTTGTTGTTGTTTATCTTTCAGTGAAAATGGGAACAGAATGTATTACAGAACCAAGCGGGGCCAAGGAAACTAAAGGCCCAAAGTCTGTAAGGTTGTTGGACTCTGTAAAGAAGTATCTATTTGTGATGGGCTCATGTCTTCTACTGTTTGCAGCTGCTAGGAATTCATTTCATTGGTAAGGTGTAAACTTTGTTGAAATATTTTCAAAAATGTACATGTAATTCACCTATCATGTTTAACAAGTAAAATTTGAAAGTGTAAGAAGTACATGTAAGTTGTGGCATTTGTAATGATTGAAGTATATGTGCATGATGATCAAATATTGTAACAATAGTAACTTTCAGTGTACATGTATTAAAATATAAAGTAAAAATTCTTCCTCATTTAAACATATTTATTTAAGCTTGATCACGAAACAAGTTCTTGCAACTTATATTAATCACTTTCGAGTCCACTTCCTGGAACTAACCAGTACTACTGTCATATGAAGAAAGATGAGTGTGAACAATTTAGGGCTTGAACCCATGATACCTGGGTTGAGAGGTAGACACCTTAACCATTAGGACTCATCTCCTTGAAAAAATTCTTCTTAATTATGATAAATCACTTTTAACAACCACCAAGAAATTTCATTGACTGAGATAATGTAGGTTATGTAATATTCCAGTAATATATACTAGAAAACCACAAAAATGTGTGCTCAACGAATAATAATGATTTTGCAGTATATAAAAGTAAATAAGAATATTGATTTTCATTGCTAAATTATATAAAACATATCATATTCAAGGTTATTGGAATTAAAGTTGCACAACAAAAGAACAGGCATTAAATTTGTTTTAAAATATTTTCAAGATCTTCAACTGTGACCAAAAGATTTAAAGGAAGATACATAGAACATGTCAGTGTAAAGTTACCTATCATTTACAAAAATAAAGGTTCTGATATGAAAATTATATTCGCATAATGGACCTTGTTTCAATTATTCTGTTGGCAGGTCCACAGAATATAGGGAGCAAGTGTAAAATAACCTATCATATACAAAAATAAAGATAAAGGTTATGATATGGAAATTATATCCGCATGATTGACCTCTTGTTTCAATTATTCTTTAGGCAGGTCCACAGAATATGGGGAGCAACTGGAAGTTTGTGGCAGAGTTATTGGGACTTTATCTATGACAAGCTAGGCCGTGACAATGACTTCATGTTTTGTTTTGCAGGTAAGATCTATGTTGAATGATTAGGTGTAAATACTAATTAAGAAGCTAAAGGAAAAGTTGCACTCCTGTTCCAACAGCACAGTGTGTTGCTAGTTGCGGGTACATACAAGTAATTGAATTTAAAGCAGTCGCAAGTCTGTTACTTAATGCTCAGTTTTGAATTTAAAGCTGTACTGTCGTAGTCTGTTATTTAAGCTCACTCCTAAAATTAAAGATGACGCGAGTCCATATTTAATGCTCCTGTCTGGAATTTGTGTCATAAGTTTAATAGGGTCATATATTATAGATATTCATGCTATAAAAATAGACAAAAAACTTGTATGATTTTAGACACAACAATTCAATCTTTGAGAATTCTAAGGTAGTGTGATGTTTTGATGGTTTGGATTTATATCATTAAAAACAGATGCCATACAACATTGTTTCCTGGTAATAAAGTATTTATCAGATCATTGTTTGTAAATGTATCTATTTATAAATTAACTCAGTCAAACCTAACTATTATTAAAATATGGGTTGGTGAACTTACGTGAGTAATCTAGATATCAAAAATTCTAGATTTTTTTCAGATTTTTTTTCAAGGCATTATTTTAAGTTTACTACTTTTTGCACTTTATTGGTTTTAACCCTTGTGTACTTTGAGATAATGAATAAATGAGCCACATCGTGATAAAACCAACATAATGATTTTTCGACCAGGACGGATCCAGACCAGCTTGGCATCCGTGCAGTCTGATCAGGATCCATGCTGTTCGTTTACAAACTCTATAGCAAGCAGAGAAACTAATAGCGAACAGCATGGATCCAGATCAGGCTGGTCTGGATCCATGCTGGTCACAAACCCATTATGTTGGTTTTGTCATGACACAGCTCAAATTTGTTAACTATTGCAGCAATGTGGATAGTATCTGGATGTGTGTTTTGGTTGGCTAATGCATTCTTTATGGTGCTGGATATAACAGGTATACCACAGTGTATAAAGAAATACAAAATACAGGAAGATGTCCAGGTCAGTAGTATATTAATGTTAAACCGGTCATACAACTAACCGAAATATTGAAATACTACCGAAATACCAGAATACGTAATAATAGATATCAGAAAACCGAAATACCCATTAATGATAGATTAAGGAAGATGTAACACTACTGATATTTTTATGGAGCCGGAATGACGCAGGTTTTAATCAAAATAACATCTAATTATTGCTTTGAATTCATGTTTTAAAACAGATTATAGCATAAAATCGGCTATTTTCCACTATTTTGCCCATGTTATAATGGGAGCAAAACTATGTGTTAACATAGTCACGCGCTCTTGTTATAGCCAAGTTTCACCTATGCTCAAGAAATACAGGGCCCAGTAAACAAACAAAAAATTGACGATTTAGCCTGTTTGCCAAAGAGTCATGCGCTCTTGTTATATGGAAATTATTGATTAGAGGGCGACGTGCAGCATTCAAGTAACTATGCTGGAAATACGGCTTATATACATCGCTGCTAATCGTGGTTGTCGCCCTTTCTAAGAAACGGACAGTTGTCAATGTAAACAAATACAGTACCTGTCATTCAGTTTAACACCCCGATTAACTTACAAAACTAGATAACACAAAATGAATATGAGAAAAATGTTGTTTTATTTATGTTAATTTTGATAACTGATCTTTATATTTCTATGAGAGAATAATGCTTAGTGTTTTGTTTTTTTTATAAACTTGTTTGCTTGAAGAAAAAAAACTATTCTGATTTCCCTGATCTTTTTTCTACCGTCAATCTGAAATCATTCTAAGAATTTTTGAGGGCCATGTTTTGTCTTGGGTAGAGGGTAGAGTAATGTAACGTTGTTTTTTTTCTTGAGATGATAAATCTCCACAATGTCAAGCTTTGTTAAATCAATTAAAATTCAAAATTTCGTTCGATTCTGAGAATTTTCCAAGTTGTTGGCCCCGGAAAAATAAAACTTATACGTAAAACATGTAGAATTGGATAAATACAATCCAAGCACAAGAATTTAATGTTAAATTGTCTTTTGTATTTACTATACACAATCACGAATCTGTTTTAAAATTTGATGCTATAATAGCGTCAACGCACGTTTATTTCATGTTATTAAGTCTGCAGAGTCCCTCGGAACTGTTAGAACCCTCGCCCTACCGGGCTCGGGCACCAACCTTCCTTAGGACTCTGCAGACGTTATAACACGGAATAAACGTGCGTTGACGCATCTATACTGTTGACTGTAAAACACATTCATTCCCAGATCTTTTATGACTTGTACATGTCCTAGAAAAAAGATCAGTTCAAATAACTGAGATGTGTGCTTTATTTGAAAAGACGAAAAGTGTAGTTATTTGTCTTTGTTAATAACTAAAAAAAAAACACAAAAAAACGGCAAATTATTTGGACTGAACAGTAGACACTAACAACGTGACTAATACGAGAATTATGACACAATATATTTAATTGAGTGCTTATTGATTTATTACATTTCATTACAATCAGGTATTTCAGCCATCTTATATGTGTTATCAAGTTTTCCGGGCTATTCCTGTAATTAGGTAGTATTTCGGTTTTCGTGTGACCCATGTTAAAATCTTTTGATGCCTACAAGATCTAATATAGTTTTTACAACTGTGCAATCATAGGTAGAGAATTATAAGTATTGTTACTGAACAATGTTGTTAATTTTGATCTAAATATAATTAAATTATTAGGTTGAATCAGCTTTATAACTGCTGCAAAAAATTATTGTTTACATTTTAAAAACGAATGGTTCCAAAATGCTTGTATGAACGAGAAATTGCCCCATATGGCATATGCATGAAATCATTGCTAAATCATGTTAAAAGTGTACTTAAAATAGAAGTATAATATTTTGGTCTGGAACATTTTTATTTTGTTTACGTACAATATACATGTGTGTTAATTAACAGAGATATTCTATGTTAAAACTTGTTACAGGAATAGACCTTATTATTTTGGAAACAATATAATTTTGCTATTGATTAATCTTATAAAAATGTTTCATATGATATACATGTAGCTTTATAGTCCCTTTAACAAATAAGAGTTCATTTCATTTAAATGTCTATCTTTACCCCAGGTTCCAGAAGATTTATCAAATTAAAATTTATTTTTTTCAAACATTTTCAAAAATATATTTTTAGATGGGCATGAAAAGTTCAAAAAAGGCCATCAAATTTTTTTTTATTTCCCCGGTGGGTTATGGGCTTTTGTTTTTTTATGGTTGACATGGTCCTTAAAACGGGGGAAAACGGGGGAACTACCCTTCCTTTTATTGGGTCTTGTTTGAAATTCTTGTCTTTTCACTTGTAGAAGAATTTTTCTTCTATTATACACACAGGTATGAGTCAGTCATTTACATGATGTCTTTTAAAAAACAATGAATCTTTATTTACTTGAATAACAATATTTTATACACAAAGTTGAAGAATGTCTGAAAAAAATATGTTGTAAGATTTTTAGTATGAAATTTGTTATTGTCTTATTATCATTTTATACGCCAGAAAATTTTTGGCGTATAATGTTATTCACCTGGTCGTCCATCTGTTAGCATATAGCATTGTCTAGCAGACCTCTCTAAAAGTTTTTATGAATCATGCACTTGGGGTAAAAATTGCCTCCACCTTGG